AACTCAGGGTGAAGAGTACGGCTCCAGCGCTCAGCATTCACCACGGTGTCTGACGAACAGACCCCGGCTCCGCCTGAAGAGAAAGAGGGAGACCAAAATTACAGACATGGATCTCAGTTTTAAAGTCTAACTTTACCCAAATAAGCCAATGCTCTCGTGCTCTCCAAGTTATAAAGCACTTCGCTTAATGTTTCACCTCTTTCCTGATTCCCCAGCTTAGACTCTTTCTCATGTGAAAGAGATTTGGGACAAACCCCACAAGTTTGGACACTTCCTATGGTCACAGTTTAAATGACAATGGCGGGGAGGGAGTCAGCAGTGCTATGAGGCTGCAAACGGGGATCTGGATTTAATTGCAAGGGAAGGAGAGGACTCACTCGGGCTTAAATTCTGCAGTGCCTGGGGGGTGACAGAGGAGTGAGTGTCCGGAGAGGAACACGGGGCAGGGATGGATGTACCGAGGGGCTAACGGGAGCTCCGGGGCTCCCACACCAACTGCTGCCGCTGCCTGTGTGCTCCAGCTCCTCTGGTTTCATGGCTACACGGTGAGCTCTGTACTTACGAAACTGCGTTGCAGAACTGGCACTTGTTTCCGTAAGTTCTGCCGTCAGAGCCGCAAATCGGGTTGTACTCGGAGGTGCAGATGAGGTTGCCGCCCTTCTGTTGGCCGCAGTCAATCTGCTAATAGTGGAGCAACAACGGGTTTTAAAGCTTTTGTTCCCCGCGTTTTCCTACATGAGTGCGTTATGTTTATGTAATGTTTGTGATATGGCAAAGCATAAAAGCACTTTTCAGGTGCAGAGCTCTGTTGTTCTAGCAACTCTGCAAACTCAAAGGCAGAGAAAGTGCCTGCCTGGAGCAGCCTGAAGTGGGGAGAAGGCAGAGGAGGGGAAAATCTGATAAATACAGTTCTAAATAGTGAAATGACCATGCTGATATTTCCAGGCTGACCCTCCCGCTGGCTGCATTGCTCTGGTTCAGCAGGTTAGCGGGGGCCAAACAGCAGGTTAGCGGAGGCAAACATACAGAAAGTGGAGGGTCGCAAGCCACGCTGTAGAAAGTACTCCCACCCAAGGAATCACCGCTACTAACAGAGCTGGTGGTATATGACGCTCCTGCTCTCCCGCAGAAGGGATGAGGCAGCATCTCTCCCTCAGCCCCTCTCCCGGTAAATGAAGGTCTCTGCACCCGTTGACTGCTGCGTTCCCAGGTCAGATAGACGACTGCATATCTGAGTCATGGATTTGGTTCAGTACCCATTGACCCTAGCGTATTTTCACTATCTTCCTCAAATCCAATTTCCAGGCCAAATGCACCAGGACAGTGCAGGTTTTTCTATTATTTAGCTATGATTCAGTGAATTTGTGTTGTAAAATGTATTGTAACAGTAGTTAAGAGTGCAGACTTACCTCTCCTTGCTGGAAGCATTCTCCCATGTTGCGCAGGTTGACGTCCAGTCCATTCCTTTGGGAAGAAAGCGAGTTGAGAATGAATGAGCACAGCGCAACCGCTTCACGAGTCAAACTACCTCGTTAGGCTCTGAACACCAACACGAGCACCTACTGATCTGGAAACCGTTCCCGTCACCCAGTCCCTTCACTTACGCCACGGCGCTGCAGAAGTGGCACTTGTTTCTGTAGGTAACTCCGTTGGTGCCGCAGATGGGAGTGTAGTCCATGGTGCAGGGGATAGCAGCGCCGTTGCCTGATCTCAGGAAGCCAGTACAGTCGAGCTGAAACAGTAACAGAACAACATTTTAATCTGTGCTCCTTCTTTCATCAGTCCCGTGTAATGGAGCACGGCACAAGAGACCTCTCCCCAGAGCTGCAAGGGGAGAGGAGCTTCCAGCCCCAGCGTGGTGGAGTTGGAGGAGCATGAACAGCTGAAATCCTGCGCCTGGGTACGGCACGATCCTGGACTATCTGTTTTTTTTCTGTCCTGAAATGGGCTTCGTCCCTATCGTCTTGGGGATTTTCATAGTGAACACCACCATGAAGGATCTTTGCCTAAAATGCCTTATGCGGCAGCAACTTTTACTGCAAAATGTCAATGCCGCTTGAAAATGGAGTTTACGCTCACCTCTGTGTTTCTGCAATTACTCTGAGTGTACTGAAATGGAAGTCATCGTATTATGTTAAATTGCACAGCCAGAGTGTTTCTTTGCTTTTTCTCTCTAAACTAAAAATAGAGATACTTCTCCACTTCACGGTAGCTCCATATATTGATAAACAAACTATATGATAAATGTTCTGATAGAATCATTTTTTCTATTACAAAATTATGATTTAGTCAAAATCCAAACTTCCTCAGGGGATTTCTTAGCTTCAACAAGCCTCTAAGTCTGAAGAGAAGTGTTTTGATAACGCTGAAGCATTATTGAAATAAAAAGTTTCCATTCTTAAGTCTGGTGTTATACACAAGATAACATTTTAAAACTCACTGATTTTTACTGTTAAAAAAAATAATTAAATTAAATCCTTGCAAATCTGAAATTCTTCTTTTTAATTTCATTTCTCACAGTTTGAAATTATGTGGGTTTAATACAGAATTAATCCTAGGTGAGATTTCTGTCTAACTCTCTGCCATCATTTCACCCACCACTGCTGAGCGCAGCAGGAGAAGGAACCGATCTCAGACCTTACCTTGACACATCTTCCATCGTGCTTCTTGTCCAGGGCTCGGTTACGGCTAGAGGGAGAGAGAGAGAGAAGGAAAGGAAGGATTAATCTGTTGATACCACATAGTCATCTCACTCATTCTCTCCACTTGTAAAGCCCCAGCAATTAATCAGGTTCGGGAGCTTTGTCACGGAAGATCGCGGGCATTAGGGAAGACAGAAACTTGTGAAAAATATAGTCCACCCCACGATTACTCACAACCCCAAAGGCTTTTGTCTGCTGCGTGAACAGGCATTGTAGGCAATCGGGGGACCTTATACTCACAAGATTTCCTTGCAGAGGGAGCACTCGTTGGGGTAGGTCACGCCGTTGGTGCCGCAGACGGGTTCGTAGTTGCGGGGACAGGCAAACGACGTTTTTCCGGAAAACCCGTACATGCTGCAGGAGGCCTGTCAAAGAGGATTGGTAATGTCTCCAAGTGGAGAGGTGTGTGTGCTTGTCGTAATCATGTTTGCGCTGTGTTGGGAGACTACTGTTGGTCTTTTTTTTTTTTCTCTATCGTTCCTCCATGGTGAAGGAAAGAGGGAACAAAATCTACTGTGTTTCTTACAGCATGCAAAAGCACCTTTTCGCTATTAAGACTTTCAGTACTTTCGGCAAGCACTGCGGGCAAAAATGGTCATTCCTTGGGGAGTCAAGACAGGGAAGATATTTAGGCGGTTATTCAATAGTTGTATAGATTTTCTGCTGGCCCTCTGTGCTGTGCTGACTCTCACTCTACATTATTAATCGCTGCCTTTTTTATCATCAACACGGTAAGTTATCTTTCTCTGACAAAGGTATTTTCTTATTTCAGGGAGAAGAGGTGGTATAATACTTAGGGGCACTTTCCTTCTTCCTTTCTCACTCAGTCTCCTTTTTTCTCTCCCTCAAGCCTCCCCTGGTATACAGTGTGAGTATGAATTATTCATTTAGACTTAGAAATCAAGACTAAATGACAAAGATCTACTACTCACCCGTCGTTGAGCAGTAGCAAGATCTACAATAAAAACAGAAATTATAAAATATAAAAATTGTAAAATGTCCTTGACCAAAATTCCTCTAGAATCATCAATTTCCCAACAGAGTAACCAAATACACTTTCTTACTATTGAGAAGTGATTGTTTTCCCAAATGTTTTATCTACTCCCAGTAAACAAGAACTTATATGCCAAGATTTAAAAAATCAATTATTTGTGAAACCAGAAATCTTGATTCACTAAAGAAGAAATAGGACATAAAGTTTTCTCTTTTTGCAGCACTATTATCCTCACTAAGTCTCATAAGTTTGTCAGACAAATGCATCCTACCGATCTATAGTATTTCTCTGCACAAGGATTAAATCCATTAAAAGAGAGTTCGCGTATTACTAAATCATCACTTCTCCAAAAGGCTGAGCTCTCCTTTAAGATGTGTATATAAAGGCAAAGGTTCAGGAGGACTAGAGATACTAGCATAGACTGTAACAAAAATGACTTACCATAAAGGCAGCTGAGAAGCACAAGCCCAAGAAGGGCAACACTCCTTGTTGTCTTCATAGCGGAGATGGTTGCAGCGTCTGTTACTTGCAAGTCGGTTGCCGGTGAGTTCAGTAGATGGTTTTCAGCCTTCTCTCTCCGCACTATATATATACATCTCCCTGACCTGGTGAAGTCATCCCATAAAGTAATTATTTGCTCTGTAAACTAGGAAAATTGTATTGATTATTGAGTTGAGCTCTAAAGAATACTTGTTTGTTAGAGAGATGCCCAGAAGAATTAAACAAAAATGTGAGCTACACCCAGTTTGTTAACAAAGGCACCCTGCTGTACAATGAGTGATTTGTACTTTCCAAACAAGAGCACTGTCTCAATAGTAGATGTTGTGAAATTACGTATGGAAGTTGGTAAAGCAAAAAAAGGCCATTTGTTGAAAGTGTTTGAACTTGTGCCCACCGTATCATGTACACGAGACGGCATTTGGGCTCCAGGAGAGTTGCATGGTACACCAGGGTGGGGGCACAGCAGTGTGGGACACTCTAAGCTTTTACAGACATAAAATCTGGGGTTTGGCAGATATCAGGGTACTTTGAAGATGCTGAGGACTCAATGAATCTCTCCTGTAGTTCCAGTACACTGGATTTCTCACCAACAGGAAGGAAACAGTCATCACAAAAGGAAATCATTACCTAAAACTTCAGCAGTTTATAAGATATTTCTATGTAGGAGCAAGAGTTATTCACCTGTTGGCAATGGCCATGAGTCTGATTAAGAAATTATGAGAATAAGCAGCCTTAAATATGGACTGCGGCAATGTTTCCTCTTAATGTCAAGCAACTGGTGTGCTGTGCAGGTGAAATGGGCTTCTTAGTACCAAAGACATTACAGAAAAATTTGCAGCAGCCGCAGACAGGTGACTCCTTAGGCTACCCCCTCCCCCCCTCTATTATATGGCATTAAATTTAGAGTGTCAGCTGAAAGTCGTCTTTTAGGGAAGATAAGTGAAGAATAATGTGCCAGGCTTTGTTAAGTGGTTCAGCTCTATCGCAAGTGTATGGAAAAACAAATAAGGAATATTGCATAAAATAATACATTTTTTATTTAAGGCAGTCACGGAAGGAAGTGAAGGACGAAACATGTTTGTGCTTTAGAAGAAGCTTGATTCATATATGTGGCTTAAAAGCAGCCCGATTTTTAAATAGAAGATCAGAATTGTTTTTCTTATTATCCTGGGAGATGTTCAAGTCTTGGCATGGCAGATAAATCATAAAAATGTAGCTGAAAGTGTAAGGGAATGGTAGTCACGGAATAGAGCTTGCAGGATTTGGCCTGTTCATATCAATGAAATAATTTTCCTGAAAAATAAATGAGTAATGCTATTTGGATGTCATTCACAAATATCAGAAGTTGAAGGGTTCCTTTGAAAGCTGTTTCTGTTGTATTCTTAGCATCCTGAGTGACTTGACTTTCATATTCCTTGAACTGATTGTGAGCATATTTGGAAGGGAAGCGGTAATCACAGAAGCATTACTATTGATTATTCTCCAGGGGCAAGAATGCCAAAGCCTGAAAACAAGGCTTCCTCAGAACTTGCACCAGCCACGAGCGGAGATAGCACTTGCTGGCTCTACGGTGGTTAGCAAGGCTACAGGAATGTAGTCTGTCTCCTCTCCAGCGCTGCGACCTGAGCTCCTCCATCCATATCCACCTCCAGATCTGAGATCCCCAATTACCAGAAATTGTGCTGCTTCTCCACTTGCCTCTCCTGCCAGGCTGAAACCACGCTGGTCGCTCAGGAGCTGTTGTGAATGGCAGAATATCTGCTAGGGAGCAGCATCATTCTCGTGTTTGGCCAACACCCACCCTTTGATTAATTAGATCCGCTGGGGAGATCCCGCTCTGATCCGCATGCTGCTTCTGAGGGTCTGGGTAGCCAACCAGGCTGCTCCAAAAGCAGCTCTTTTCCTCCAGTGATTCCTGCCACTTCACAGGGAAGCAGGGAGAAAAAGAGAAGCAAGGAAAGAGCCTTGCTACAGGGTCTATGAGAAAGGATGGGAGATAATTGGTAGCAGGCAGGGCAGGGCAGCGAGAGCTGCTGGGCTAGGTGTGACGTGGGATTGCACAAGGAGCTCCATTAATAAGAAACAGAGGGAATAGGACAGAAGTAATTGCGGGGCAGCAGATGGGTTGAAAACAGGCGTTAGGAGCAGCCGAAAGCAACTGTCTTTACACATTTGGAAGAGCGAGCTTCAGGAAACGTCACACACATGTTGCAAATGGGAAGGGCAAAATGAACTCACCTGCCAAAACCTGTGATATTCAGGAGTCTCATGATGGTGGGTTCAGTAAAGTGACTTTGAGCATAGGACTATTTTAACCTTTCTACAGATATGAGAACCACAGAAAATTTTAAATAAGGCTCTTCCTGACATTTCAAGTTCTTAGAGGGCAAACATTCAAGAAATTTATGGCCACGTGAGTGGGATAAACATCAGTAGCCATATGATATATCCTCTTGCGTTAAGGTGAATTTCCAATAACTCTGGAAATTCTACCCAGTTTCTAACCCAGCATTATTTCTTCCCATAACAGTGATACTCTTCTGGGAATCTTTTCCTCTGGTGTTGAGATTCCCTATCTCAAGCAAGTCCATAATCTACCACGACCTAAAAAAAGTCTTCATTTATTTTCCCTGCTTTAGTTTAAAACTTGCTACAGGCTTCATCTGGCTACAAAGAGAAATTATACTTTTTAATTTTTTTTTTTTTGGGGGATGATGGCAGAAATGAAATAGTGCAGCAAGGAACAAAGGAATTAGCTATTTACCCACAGAGAGAGAAAGGATTATGGGGGGGGGGGGGAAGGTAGTTGTGTGCGTGCAAGACCACGTGTTGTTATTCCAGCAGCACCATCATTGTCCTTGCTCCCATGTCCTGCTGTCACACACCACCACACCGTAATCAAGAGTAAAGTGGTGCTATGCCCCAGACTATGCTCCTGTAGAGGCAAATACAAAAGGCACCTCTTAGCCGTTGACTCGCGATGTGGCACTCTGCAGGAGCTCCCAAACCAGGTTGCTGTTCCCAGACCTCTGCACAGGGGGGCAGAGCTGGATCTGCTATGAGGACGCGAATTCAGTTTACAGCAAGCACAGCCCCTGCTCTGAGCCGGGCTCGTGTAATATTCCTCCTTGCAGTTCAGCTATCTGATTGCTGCCTGCATATCTCTAGTCGCTTAAGCATAGATGATATCACAGGCAAGGGTGTCTGGAATAATTTGGCTGTCTGGGAGCCGCATACTAACAGCAAAGGGCTGAGGATTTTGGCCCCGCGCATCCAAACACCTCAGCGAGTCTCAGCTCTGCCTCGCTGCAACAGCTCTGACACAGCCAGCCCCCCCCAAAAAAAACATCTCCAGGTAATTTTCTTTTAAAACATCGTTTTATTTTTCTCCGCATCAAGAAGGAACGTAGTAACAAACCGTTTATCCTGAATGAAGCCTCAGAGAGAAACTGCATTAGCAGAAACGTCTAGACTGGCCTGAGGAATATTTTGGCCAGAAACAAGTAGAATAATACACTAAAACAGAAGCACTGATATAAAATAGAGCAGAACAAAATAACTATATGCGATGTGTTAATCAGGTTGTAGGGTAATTGAATGGCACTTCCTAAATTCACAAACATCAGATAATGACATAAAGTGCTGAGGTACTGCTTAAAGAATTGTACCATAAAATACCTCGGCAGGCAGACAATGTTTCCTGCCTTGAATTTCCTGGAGGGAGAGTTAGATTAGTAACGGTGAGGGGATTTTGTGTTGTTGTGGCAGGATTTTATTGAGCAGCAACAAAAAAATTATTTCCAATGAAGTGCCCATAAAAGAGGACTGTCTTCCTCTCCATCCTAAGGAGCTGCTTCC